TTAGGTTCTGCATGATCTGGTTTGCAGTTGCCACAACAGACTTTGGATTTTATGTTCTAAAATGCTTATAAAATATCTTACAGATACAAGGTTCCTTTTTTAGAGCTGTGTTTTGACTCATACTTGTTTCCCTTGGGCAGCTAGTTTTTAAAGATTTAAGTCAGGCATTAAATCCTCCAAGATACCTCTCCTAGTTCCTGCTTTCCATTCTCACAATTTTATAGCATTTTGTGCATATCTCAATCCTTGTACGTATTAAGTCATATTATTTTTACTGTTTCTTTGTTTCTTGGAATGTGAGCTCCTTTTAAGCATTCTCAGTGTCTCTCAGGTCATGAGCACACATTTATACAAGAAGATTAATACATATGGAGGAACCAAATTGTATATGTTGAAATGCCTCTGGGAAATTTGAGTAGGGATAACTACCAGGTTGTTGTAAGTTAATGGATTTAGAACTTAGAAACAGTTTGGCTTACGAATGTGTATAGTGATAGTGATGGAAGTCTTGAGCATGAATGAGCTGGTTCAGAGAATATGTAGAAGATAGGAGTATCAAGAGTAGAACCTTGAAAAATACTCATCCACCCTTTATAGGTGGGTAAAAAGACAGGAGCAATCTTAGAAGTGGAGAGAGATGGAAAAACCAGAATTAAATCCTATCACTATAGGTTCTAGTTATCACTAGATAACTGTAACAGTATTTCACAGTGCCTGACCCATATCATACATTATAAGATGATTTTTGTTTTGCAGTATTGGGATTTAAACTCAAGGCCTACACCTTGAGCCACTTTGTTAGCCCTTTTTTGTGTTGGATATTTTTGAGATAGGGTCTCACGGGGCTAGCTTTGAACCATGATCCTCCTGATCTCTGCCTCCCAAGTAGCTAAGATTACAGGTGTGAGCCACCAGTGCCTTATGGGAAAGCTGATTTTTGACTATTTGGTGGGTAGAAAGTCATCAGTACATTAGAAAGAGCTACAGTTCAGGTGAAGAGTACCCTCAGAGAGACCTAAATTTGTAATTGTGGTGGCAAAATATTTATAATACAGTTCATTTGTAATGGCCTTAATTTTGCTTTTGTAAATACACCTCACGTTTACTATTTCTATGCAGTAGAAAATTGACAAAGGCTGGAGGAGGATCTATATGTACGTTGGTTGAATGTCTACTATGTTCCGACAAAGAGGCAGTGAGCTAACTCTGGTTGGAAGAAAGTCAATTAAATAAAATAATAAGCATAATGAAGACATATCATTAGTTTTAAGAAGAATGATAGATGTTTGGAGTAGGTGCTTTATGGAATTGGAGAGCCTAGTGACAGATAACACTATTTTGAAAGGCTTGATTAGAAAGGAAGAATAAAAATGTGTGGCACTACAGGTAATAAAGATGTGGAACTTTTCTCCAGTAGTGCTCAGCAGCTAATTATAAATAGGTGAAGTAGATAATAGGGCAAGGACAAGGGAATAAATTGGTTTGGGGTACTGAGAAGCAAGTAGTGAAATGATATACTGTTATCTAGTTGTGAAAGGACATGATGGGATGTTTGGTTCTCTCTCTGTATCAGTGGTTCTCAATTGGGAAGAAGATGATTTCCACCCCCACCAGGGACATCTGGCAGTATGTGGAGATATATTTGGTTGTTACACTGTGGTATGGTGCTACTGACATTTATTGAGTAGAGACCAGGAATGCTGCTAAACATTCTACAGTGCACTGAACAGCTCCTACAACAAAGAATGTTGTGGCCTTAGGTGTCAGTGCCAAGGCTGAAAAGCCCTAATCTGTATTAATTCTTTGTTAATATCATCTAATTTCCTCGATTTAATTATAGTTTATGTGCAGATGACTTTCAAATTTATATGTCAAATCTAGACCTCTTACTCCCAACTTAGACTTGTATATCTAGCTACCCACCTACTGAGCATCTCCACTTGAATGTCTAATAGACATTTCAGATTGTTCCACCTACAATCTCTCCATCTCAGGCAGTGACAGCTGTCCTTCATGTTACTCAGGTCACAAATGTTGGTGATTATTTTCTCACCCTGTATCCAGTCCATAAAAAAATCCTGTTGGCTCTACCTTTAAAATATATCCCTAATTTGAACACTTCTTTCCATCTCTGCTACCATCACCCTGATACAAGCTGCTTTTTATCTCTCACTTGGACTGTTGCAGTGCCTTCCTCACTAGTCTCTTTAGTTATAACTATATAGGCTATAGTCAACATAGCAAGTAGCATGTCCCTTTTAAAACATAAGTCAGGGGTGGGGACATGACTCAAGTGGTAGAGTGCCTGCCTAGCAAGAACAAGACCCTGAATTCAAACCCCAATATGGCCAAAACAAAGTTACATTTAATCTATAATTTTCTGTTTCTTACTACTTTCCAGCTAATAGTGATGTTATAGAATATTATTTTACTGGTTCATCTTTTTATATTATGTATTCAAATCTTAAAGTTCTGTTTCTCTGTTCATTGCTGTCTTCTAATTCTATTTTGTAGCAGAGAGATTATATATTGCCGTTTGAACTTAGTTTGCTCTGATATAGAAAGTAAGATCCTTGTTTGTACCTTGAATGTCTTCTGCATTCTGTAAGCATCCAGCATAAAGTTAACTACCACAATTATTCTATGTTAAATCCCTTTTCCCTTTGTTCAGCTCATATGTGGTAACAGACAGTTGACCTTTATTTCCTTTATGAAGTGGCAGGGTGTAATGCTGCTGCTTACTTACCAATTATTTATCAAATGCTTTGATCTTTGATCAAGCTAACCTTTGATGTGTCAACTTCCAGGGTGGTTTAGAGAATCAAATTAAGGCTGAGTCTGTTGCCTCAGTCCAGTAATCCAAGCTACCTTGGGGGAGGTGAAGATCAGGAGGATCTTGATTTGAGACCAGCCTGAGCAAAAAGTTAGGGAGAACGCATCTCAACAAAAAGCTGGGTGTGGTGACACTTGTCCTCACAGTTGTGTGGAAGGCTTAAGTAGTTTGATCAACATCTGGGCCAGCCTATACAAAAATCAAGACTGTGTTTGGAAAAAAAAAAAAAAAGCAAAAAGGTCTGAGGACATGGCTTAAGTGGTAGAATGAGCACCTTCCAAACAAGCACAAGGCCCTGAGTTCAAACCTCAATACAACAACAACAACAAAAAGAATGAAATTAAGAATGTGTAATTAAAAGGATTTGGAAAGCTAATGATTAGGTCTTGAGATTGCAAGGAGGTGTACAAGGTAATAGTGGAAAAGTACAGGATGATGAGATAGGTTTTAAGAGGGCATTTGTAAAAGGAACCAACCTTCTGTATATACGTTTTTCAAACTTTTCAAGAAAGAGTTAGTTGAGAACTTGTTTACTGTTCTTAGATGGTTCCATGATTTCATTTAGGAAAAAAAAGAAAATAGAAAAACGCTTGCTGTTGGGTTTTATGCTGGAATTAACACAATCAAGTTGTAGTACCTACTTCTAAGAATGTCTTTAGTCTCATAGAGGAGTGAAATAAACAGTGATTTTACAATCAAAGGTGAGAGCAGCTCTGTTTTAGGTGCGCCTGGGACAGGGTATTGATTAATCATTTAAGCACTTTCAAGGAGACCAGGAAGGCCAACCCTTTGAATTGGATGAGTTGGGGTTGGCCAGGCAGAGATGATGTTCTAAGGAGGCTGCTATGAAGGGTTAGAATAACAATTGCTCTGGGATATAGGGCTGTTGTGAGAATTGAATATTTTTAAAACATTGTAGATTGCATATACTAAAAAATTGAAGGCCAGCTTTTAATGTTACTATACTAGAGATGGGAGTGTAGAATTGGCAGGTTGTGGTTTTTGAATGAATTTTAGGTAAGTGAAAATGATGAGTCTAGGGCAGTGGTTCTCAGCCTTAGGGAACACACAATAGAATCACTTGAGGAATTAAAACTTGCTGAAACCTGGGCCATACCATAGACCAATTCACTCAGTATCTGGGGTGATGTGACCCCAGATGATTATAATGTTCAGTAGGGCAGAGAATCCTGGTTGACAACTATTTCCAGGCTTCTGGCTTGGGTGACTGGTTGGTATGATGGTGCCATAAACTTGAATGAAAAACTGAAGGAAAGATTTTTTGACATAGCACTTGGGTTTTCTAAGAATCTTAAGAGCATTTATGTGATTTAACTTCTTGTAACTGAGAAATACTTTTAAATACTGTCCTGGATATTGAATATCATCCAGGTCATATTACTTTTCATGTTCGTTTACATTTTATACTTTTAAGTGTCTTTGAGGATATTATCTGCTGCTGTTGCTTCTCTTTGGACTATTCAACACATCTGCATAATTTACAGAGTAGTTTTCTCTGACTTCCTCTTTTTAAAACTTCCTGTTGATGGCTCTTCCCTGTCCCCAACCACTACTGCTACCACTACTGAGATGTTCCCTCTACCAGAAGAGAGATAATTGATATTTTGTTCACCAATAAATCCTAAATTCCTAGTACATAGAAGATAGAACATATTTCTTTACTGAGAAGATGGATCAGGCTGGTTTTGTTTCCTTTTAGGTTCTTGGTTCTGCAGAACAAATGTGAGATGAGAGCAGAGTTTCAAATTTGCTGGGTATTGGGCGGGGGGAGAGGGTGGAGGCGGAGTGGGTGGTAAGGGAGGGGGTGGGGGCAGGGGGGAGAAATGAACCAAGCCTTGTATGCACATATGAATAATAAAAGAAAAATGAAAAAAAAATTATCTTTTCTCCTTCTGTAACCAATTTGTTAATCATGCTTTGGTGACTGACTTTTGGGCATATTTCCCAGAAACTTTAAGGCAACCCTTAATAAACACTAATAAGTCTGCATGCAAAAAAAAAAAAATCTGTGAGAACTTTCTTTCCATATTAATTGATAAATATGGAGCTTAATTTTTAGTTGCTAAAGATTGTAAGAGAATACTCTTGAGAAAATGGTTCTTAATATTTCTTAACAGTGAAAATCTCCTTTTATATGTTTTGGTAGGAACCACCAAAGCCACCCCTAAATAATTTCAAAATAGGGATGAAACTTGAAGCTACTGACAAAAAGAATCCATATTTTATCTGCCCTGCGACCATTGGAGATGTTAAAGGAGATGAGGTGTATATCACATTTGATGGCTGGAGCGGAGCATTTGATTATTGGTGCAAGTATGATTCTCGAGATATTTTCCCAGTTGGGTGGTGTTGCCTGACAGGAGATGTATTACAACCACCTGGAAATAATGGTAAGCTAGTAACTCAATATGTGTTCTTTTATTTTACTGAAGTTGTATGTAACTGCTTTTGGTAGCTTTGTGATTAACGTTGATGATGTTAGGACTTTATTGTCCAACTAGACTGTCAGGCAGATCAGCAAGAGCACAGTCCCATTTAGAAAACTATAGATAAAGGAAGGCTAGGATTAGAATTCTTGAGGGCTTGTCTCAGCTAATATGGGCAGAGCTAAAAGTCGTATTTGGGTCCTTAAAGCCATGGTGTTTAAGCATTGGGTGAAGGGAGGAGTGTCAGCTACCTTTGTAATTACTAGTCAGTTAAAATTTATACATGGGATCTGTGGTTACAGCTCAGTGATAGAGTACCTGTATAGCATGCATTAGGCTCTGGGTTATATCCCTAGCACCAAAATACTACTTTTTTGCACATGGTATTTCATTGTTCATATCTCAAAGGTAATTTTTTAAGGTTGGGCATAACAACTATTAAAAACACGTTTTACATAATTTTGTAAACTGTTTTCAAGTTAACTTGATACTTAATAATCTTAAGAAAAATCTACATGAGTGAAAAATGTTGACTCTTTGGAAGCCATTATAGAGTTCTATATTACTTAGTTATGGTAGTGTTTATTACCTGTTATGCTGTGTTTCTTAAGTTGAATACTATGATCATCTAGATATTTTCTTTCAGAGAAAACTCATGAAAATATTGAAGCTCCTTGGCAACTCTTCCAAGGGCTTAGACATGCCTAACATGGTCTTCTGTGATGGAATAACTGCCAAGGTTCCAGTGAGATCTAAGCATAGAACCAGTTATTGACTTAAGTTTGATATAAATTTATTAGTGGAATTGAATGTAAACAACTAAAATCCCACTAAATGTATTTATACTAGAAACAAGGTGTAGAAAATGAATGATAGTTAAGATATGTACAAGAGGGAGCGTGGTAGCTAGGAAAGAGCTTATAGTGTACTATTCTTATAACTAATGTAATCTGGAAATTCAACACATCCCATTATACTACAATAATACATACTGTGTGTTCTTTTTATTAGGTACCTCTTTTACCAGTTCCTTGCTGCCATAATTCTAGGAAATAGATATTAAGTGATTGATCTATGTACTAACATAACTAAGGCATAATCTCTGCCCTCAAAAAGTTTACCTTCAAGTTGAAGAAAGCTGGATGGAGGAATAAACATGTAAAAATTGTACAGAATTAAAAATACAAAAATAGAGACGTATGTTAGATATGGAAGTGGCTCAAAGACTTCCAATCTGGGCTAGAAGGAAAGCCTCACAAAAAGACACATGGTGTAAATGTTAAGAGAGGTGAAAGGGTTTGCTGAACAGAAGGGAAATAGAAGTAGGGTAGACATATCACAAAAGTTTAATTTTCAGTTTACCTGAAAACTGATGAATTTTGGTTGGGAATGTGTGGCTGAGAATGCTTGTCCTCCAGCATCTGTTCTCCGTTTTTTTCTTAGTGATACAAGTTGACTACCTATCGTACTACATTTCCTGCCCCTAGCAGTAGGGTATGGCTGTGAGATTAAGTACAGATAGATATTCTACTTCCAGGAAGTGTTTTATAGAGAGGCAAATCGGGTTCTTTTGAATTCCTTCTTTCTGCTTTTATCCTGCTGCTGGGAGTGTGGTTTTGGCTGGAGTTTCATTTAGTACCATATGACAGGGACTCCTAGGTACTGTGGAGCGAAAAACAGAAAGGAGCTGAAGTTCCTAAGAACTTTGTAGAGCAGAACTTTCATAATAGTCTGTATTTTCATTTCCAGACTGTCATTTGTTAGAAATAAACTTCTGTATTATGTAAACCGTCGTTATTTTTAGGTTTTTCTCTTACTGTTAGCTGAACTTAATCCTAACTGATTCAGAGTAACTTTGGGATATCCAGGTGCACATGTTTATTGGCTATCTGCAAGCGCAGGTATGGAGCCTAAAAAAATCCTGGCTGATAAAGCAGGTTTGAGAGTCATCATACTCACTCAAACAAATACTCTTGTGCTAGGTGGGAATATAGGTACTGGGGTGAGGGGGTGCTTTTGCACATTTTGTTGATAGAGGCAAGTGGTAGAAGTTTGAGTATGGTTATAATTATGCATCCGTAACAGGTGGAGTAGAAGGGACCCAAGACAGAATCTTGTGAGTCAACATTGAAGACAATAATTTTCATATTTGAATCACCTGGGGGTAGTGATAAGGGTGGGGGGAGCTGGTTAAAAGGCAGTGCCCTGGCAGTCAGATGAAAGATTTTTTAATCAGTAGGTCTGGAAATCCAGGACACTGAGAAAAAGTACAAATAAATGTAGGATAGTCACTAGGTTGGTTTCCTGAACAGTAAGAGAGGAAGGATTTTGAAGAAAAAAGTGTTCAACATTATCAGATGCAGAAAAATCAAGCAAATGGAGAAGTCTTTAGTTGTCTTAGTAATGTATGGTTACTGGGCTTCATTAAAAAGCCAGATTTAAAGAATTGAGGAATAAGTGGGAAGTACAAAATGTTTAGAAAATATGGCTTCCCAATACTTTGTGGCATCTGCCTCCTCTGTCTTTGTCCTACTAGACATTTTTCTCACTTCAAGTTACAATTTAGAATTTTCTCTTTATGTTCCTTTACTCTCCACTGTTTATAATTATCTTCAACATTTCTTTTATACTCATTGAAAGCTACATTTGACATTGTTATAATTTTGCTTTAACCATTAAACATAATTTAGAAAACAAGAGAGGAGAAGGAAAGTCTATTGTGTTCATATTTTGCCCTTTCACTTGTTCATTCTTCCTGATTTTTCAAGTTTTCCTTTTATTGTTTCCTTCTTATTTAGAGAACTTCTTTTGGACATTATTTTAGGGAATGGTAGTGACAAATTCTCTTAGTTTTTCTTCACCTGAGAATATTTTTGTTTCCTCTTCATTCTTGAAGATAGTTTCTGGGTATACATTCCAGATTGACAGTTTTTGCAGCACTTGCATAGTTTCCTTCTGGTTTCCATGGTTTCTGAGGAGGAATTTGCTGAGTTTTTTCCCATATAGGTTCCATTTTAAAGATCTGTTTTTCTTATAGTTCTTTCAGTGCTTTTTTTATACTTTATCTCTTTTGTGGTTGTATTACCAGGTGTGTACAAATTTTGAATTGTTAAAATTTCTGGCCAATTGAACCTTCTATAGTAACATTATGTATGACAACTTTTTTTTTAACTTTAAAAGTTAATTTTATCTGATTTTAATGCAGTGATACCAAATTTTATTTCTATGATATTCATTTTATTGCTTTCTCTAATGTTCACCCTTTATCTTTTAGATGGCTTTCTTATCAGTAGCTACATTTTGATTTTTTTGGCCAGTTAGCTAGCTTTTCTTTTTGTATCGTTGTATCTTTTTGTGATCTCATAAGCCACCATTATTGTTCACATAGTCAGTAGTTCTTGAGACTTATCCACATATTTGACATATTTGTTCTTTATTCGTTCTTGGCATCTCAAGCTTTTCCTCTGTCTGAGGCATGTGTTTTAGAATTTCCTTTAGTGAAATTCAGCTAGTGGTGATAGTCTCGGTTTACGTTCATCTGAGTATGTCATTATTTGAACTCTTTCCTTGGAAGTCATATTGTGTGGATGTAAAATTTCAGATTGACAGAGAATAACTAACTTTTAGCATATTGAAGATACCATGTTTTTCCTTCTGGTTTCTATTATTGGTGTTGAGAATTCAGCAGTCAGTTTGTTTCTCTTCTGTAATCTGTCATCTTTTTCTCTAGCTAACGTCAGTATCTTCATGTCATTTTTGGTATTTTGTAGTTTTACCCTAATACTTCTAGGTGTGGGTTTCTTTGAATTTTGATGTTTTTGCAAAACCACACATTTATAGATAACAAATTGCTCACTTTCATGGTGAAAAATTTTAAGTGTTTTATGTTATATTTAACTTTTGTCATCATTAAGGATTTCATATGACACAAATAATGTGAAGGTTTAAACCACATTTCATGACTGCATTTTGATTATTGAGCACAATTAGTGCAAATTTTGTTAAAGTAGGATTTGAAAGCAATTAGAGTAGAAACAAATGTGTGCCCACTGGAGCCACAGTTTTGCAGAGATACCCAGAATCCCCAAAAGAACTTTGGGATTCTGGGGAAAATATGTTAAAAAATATTAGTTGATATTCACACAAAGACATTCTATATGTGATTCATTTTGCTTTTTTTCTAAGCATTGATTAGTAGTTAGTACTGCACTTAGACAAGGTAAAATAGGGTCTTGACTTTGCTAGGCAGGTACTCTACCACTTGAGCCACATCTCTAGTCCTTTTACTTTTAGTGTGTTTTTCAGATAGGGTCAGCTTTTCATTCTACTAAATTGGCACCATACAGCAACCAGTCTTCCAAGCCAGAAGCCTGGAAATAGTTGTAAACCAGGATTCTCTGCCCAAGCTGGTCTCCAACTGCTATCCTCATACGTCTGTCTCCCAAGTGGGTGAGATTACAGGTGTGTTCAACCACACCTGGCCTAAAGTGAAATACTCTTTTTTTTGTAGAGAACACATTTACATTAGCCAATGCATTATTCATTTAGATGGTAGCTATAAAGTAAAAGTAGCATTTCTTGGGCATAGTGTGCTATATTAAAATCAAATATTTTTCTTACTGTTTCATTATAATTTGGGCAGGGAGGCAATACTGGAGTTGGAACTCAGGGCCTTGTGCTTGCTAGGCAGGAGTTCTACAACTTGAGCCATGCCTCTAGTTCTTTTTGCTTTAATTATTTTTCTCTTTAGGGTCTTGCGTTTACGCCCATTGCAGCTCGGACTGTGATCTTTCTATTTATGCTTTGTGCATAGCTGTGATGACAGGCAAGAGCTACTACACCCAGGTATCACTGACTGAGATGGAGTCTTGTGAAGTTTTTGTCTGGGTTGGCCTGGAACTGTGATTCTCCCAATCTCCACTTCTTGAGTAGCTAGGATTACAGGTGTGAGCCACTGCACCTGG